TTGCAGAGTCAACTCCTCTTGTTCCATCCTTTGTTTCTCTCTGTCCAACATGTCCAAGGTGGTCTGTTTCTCTCTCTTCTTCAACACCTGTCAGAAATGACGGGCAAGGGTGTCATTGTAGAGATCATTGATCCTGTTGGCCTCAGCTGTGTTTGGATAATGAGTGTTGGTAAACTCCTGAACTCTCCCCATTTGACAAGGAAGTTTTTGTCAACTTTCACTCCTTCTGATGATGTCTTGCTTTGTTTCAATTGAAATCACCTTTCTGTTTTTTTAGAAGCCATGATTTGCACAACACTTGAATAAATGTAAATACCCTGCACTTGAGGTGATGTAAATAATAAACAAAAGAGCAAGCCGAATCCCAACAGTAGCACTGTACTTCAGATATATTTATACTAATAATATATTCTAATAATACTAATATATTATAAAAATAATAGATTGTCATTGGCAACAACAAAAGAGTGAAAACATCATTTGCATTTGTTCGCAGAAAGTCCGTTGTTCACAGCCAGTCCGTTGCTGGAGTCACGTAACGGCCAAACAGAATGTCCGTTGTTCGCAGCGTCCGTTATTCAAGGTGTACATTATATGAGGCACCACTGTATATTAAGGTAGAGGAATCTGTATTTGCTTTGTGGACCTTGAAAAAGCTTTTGATAGAGTAATGTGGCCAAAATTCATGGAAACACTTAAAGATAAAGGAGTTGATTGGAAAAAGAGAAGGCTAATATGGAATCTATATAAGAGACAATGAGTGATAATGAGAGTGAAGACAGTGAAACAGGAAAGGTTTCAATAACTAAAGGAGTTAGGCATGTCACTCATCCTATTAATATATATCTGGAAGAGATAATTAAGAAATCAGTGAATCAAAATTAAGGTGTTAAGATTGGGGAAACAATTGTAAAGTGCATCCATTTTGAAGATATGTGGTTGTGATAGCAGAGGATGCAAGAACACTAAGGAAATCAATGAAAGCTGTAGAAAAGAGATGCCTCAAATATGGGACTAAAATCAATGTGAATAAAACAAAGGTAATGTGGTAGGGGAAGACAGAAAAATAGCATTATAAATAGAAGGACAATAAGTAGAGCAAGTAAAGGGATTGCAGTACCTAGGTTCCTGAATAAGTGAAGAAGGAAGAAGTGAAGGGAAGATAAAAGGAGAATAGCAATGGCAAAGGATGTATTCATTAGAAAAATAAAACTGTTAAGCGGACCATTATGTGACAATGCCGAAGGGTCCCCCTATGCTTCGGCACCATAGGACCAAAAGGTCGACATTGCGTCGGCAAAGACTGCAATGGCAAATTTATCAGGACTGACACCACTGTGTCTTCTGGGTAGACACAGAGACCGTTACATTCACATTTACGTGCGAGCAGTCGCGTCTGTAGGTCGTTGGACTCAGGATGGAGACCACTTAAGGAAATGCTCCCAACACAATTCTAACAACAACAAAATTCATTTATTAAACTAGTTCTACAAAATGGTATTTACCTTAAAGCTTCTTCGCAAGAACTGAGTTGGAGAGAGAGAGCTTACATAACATCGCGGGTTGTTATAAATACCTGAAGCACTGTGTACGGATTTCCAGATGACTGTGGGGTCGTTGGAATGTCTCTGTTGCCTTGGATGGCAGTTAAAGTCTATCAAAAGTTGCGATCCGTTGATTCTTTGTACGTGTTCCCGGAGAAACACAGGATATTCGGGAGGAGCGCGTGGCAACAAGCGATGATGATAAATCCTTTCGGCTGGCAAACAAGGAATATTCTCGCAAACTCTCAACCCTTTTCACTGTTCCTTGAGGTCTCTTCTTTATTTCCAAGTCATGTTGTTGTTTTCCACCAATAATGAATTTTTTGTTGTAGTTCCCAGTGACACATTCTGAGTTCCCTGGGAAAGGAAACGACTCCGGGAATTGCACTCATCCTCCATTAATAAAATGAAAAAAGTTTTTTCTGAGATTTAAAAAAATTTCCTTTTCAAAATGACAAATGAATTTTCTTTCAAAAAATTCCCGAATAAAATTGTGGGGTTTTCCTCTTTCCAATTTCTCACAATTAAATATAGCATTAAGAAATTTAAAATATATGCTCTCAATCTCAGATTAGTAGTGTCTTGTTCTGTACATCATATTTTTCCTGATAACAACAGAGCCATGCTGGTCATCTGTGTAATTCTATTCTAAGGAAAATTTTTGAATTGAAATCATGTGACTTCTGGTCTAGACTGGAAGTTCTTATATAGTTAATTGGGGCCTCCTGCCCCTAAGCTTTCCATATCTGGTCTGGACTTACATCTATCTAACATTNATTATGTGACAATGCCGAAGGGTCCCCCTATGCTTCGGCACCATAGGACCAAAAGGTCGACATTGCGTCGGCAAAGACTGCAATGGCAAATTTATCAGGACTGACACCACTGTGTCTTCTGGGTAGACACAGAGACCGTTACATTCACATTTACGTGCAAGCAGTCGCGTCTGTAGGTCGTTGGACTCAGGATGGAGACCACTTAAGGAAATGCTCCCAACACAATTCTAACAACAACAAAATTCATTTATTAAACTAGTTCTACAAAATGGTATTTACCTTAAAGCTTCTTCGCAAGAACTGAGTTGGAGAGAGAGAGCTTACATAACATCGCGGGTTGTTATAAATACCTGAAGCACTGTGTACGGATTTCCAGATGACTGTGGGGTCGTTGGAATGTCTCTGTTACCTTGGATGGCAGTTAAAGTCTATCAAAAGTTGCAATCCGTTGATTCTTTGTACGTGTTCCCGGAGAAACACAGGATATTCGGGAGGAGCGCGTGGCAACAAGCGATGATGATAAATCCTTTCGGCTGGCAAACAAGGAATATTCTCGCAAACTCTCAACCCTTTTCACTGTTCCTTGAGGTCTCTTCTTTATTTCCAAGTCATGTTGTTGTTTTCCACCAATAATGAATTTTTTGTTGTAGTTCCCAGTGACACATTCTGAGTTCCCTGGGAAAGGAAACGACTCCGGGAATTGCACTCATCCTCCATTAATAAAATGAAAAAAGTTTTTTCTGAGATTTAAAAAAATTTCCTTTTCAAAATGACAAATGAATTTTCTTTCAAAAAATTCCCGAATAAAATTGTGGGGTTTTCCTCTTTCCAATTTCTCACAATTAAATATAGCATTAAGAAATTTAAAATATATGCTCTCAATCTCAGATTAGTAGTGTCTTGTTCTGTACATCATATTTTTCCTGATAACAACAGAGCCATGCTGGTCATCTGTGTAATTCTATTCTAAGGAAAATTTTTGAATTGAAATCATGTGACTTCTGGTCTAGACTGGAAGTTCTTATATAGTTAATTGGGGCCTCCTGCCCCTAAGCTTTCCATATCTGGTCTGGACTTACATCTATCTAACATTATTGCCGAGAATCCGGAAAGACAGACAGACAATAGGAATTTATAGGTCTACAATTTTTTCAAATTGCATTATCAAAACTTCTTAATAAGCTTTTTTTTAAAATGAAGATTGTAATGAAAGTGTATATTAAATTACAGATTTATTTCTTAATAAATTTATTTATATTACCTATATTTAAATGTTTAAAATATTATATTTTTCATAATTGAAGTTTAGACTGTTTACAAAAAATATCAAATTTTTGAGTCTATCTTAATCCTTTTTATACAACCCCAGAAGTAACAGTTAACATGGTTTTTTTTTTTTTGTCAACAGTCTAAACTTCAATTATGAAGAAATATATCCTGAGTAATTACAGAAATTGTATATTATATTTTTTTTTATTTATAAAATACATGCTACATTAAAAAGATCAAACTCCACTAACATAAACAAAATATTAGAATTGATTATAATCTGTACTAATATATTCATAATGTTGTCATAAAATATATTTCAATTTGGATAAAATATAAAACAAACATACAAACAAAATTAACACAATAAAGAAGCATGTTACATTCAATGTAAAACATTCTGTAAAAATAATATATTGTTAACAAATTGATTAAGGCGGAATACTGCAACAATGTATGAAATTATATGAAACAAAATTATATTCTTTATTCTTAATCAATAGAAATATTTATAAATAGAAAATCTGTTTAGATCTAAATATGATTTAAATACATAACTCTACCTTAAATGACAAGGAAAAACTCATTTCCATATAAATTAAACTTTGATACTGGTGATCATAATAAAAATTGGAACAATTACATTATTCCAATAGTCTAAATTATCTGAGCTAAATAATGATTATTTGTAAAAAGTAATTTTTAAAAAATTTTCAATAATAATTATTATTAATTATTATAAGAGCAAAAGGCTTAATTTGAGGTTAGAGATAAGTTTTTAAAAATATTGTAAATGCCAAAGATAAGTGAAATCTTCATTAAGTTTGACCCACTAAGGATACTGCAAGACACATGATTCCCTTTATCTCCCTCCCCTAGATTTTTAACCACCAAAATTTAATAGCATAAATGTCCATATATAGAAATAACCCTGTCAAGCTTCAAAATTTTTGGTTTATCCAGTCCGGAGACATTATGTGTCATTATGTATTTTGCATTAAGTATATTTGTACAGAATTTTGTGAGGAGTTTTTTTATATTTTTAGGTCTAGTTTTTTTTTTTTTCTTGAATTTATTGATGTATTGACACTTAGTGTCAAAACATCAATAAATGTAAAAAAAACTCAGGGTCAAAAGTTACCAATCACCACATTTTTCCTATTTTATATTCTATCAGCTGAGATAGTAAAAAAAATTAGCTAAAAATAAAATTTCAGTAAAAATAATTAATTCATATTTAAATTAGTACCTTATTAACAAATAAAATAACAATAAGCTTCATGACAAAAAAATATATATAACTTCAAATATAATGCATATAGTTAATTTAATTTTAAAGATGTATGTATAAAAGTAAAACATTTTTTAAACATAAAACTCCAATTGAAAATTTTAAAAGCAATTGGCATACCTTCTTTCCTTTAGCATTCTCTGTTTAACTGCACACATTAACATGTTCTATATAAATAAAATACATATATTTATAGATATTTACAGATTTTTATTATTTTTATATTAATCAATTTGAATGTGTTAAAAATTTATAATATGATGATGATACAGTAGACCCCCCATAACACGATAGATACATTCTGTGTTTTATGAAATTCATGTTGTACGAGTCCTTAAATACATGAGCCAATCACAGCCCGGCACGTGTGCAGTTTACGGACTATGGCTGTTTGAAAGGTTTTCTTCCATAAAATTAATCAATTCTAGACTAATTTGACTCAACATTTCCAAAACACATATAATTTTTTGGGAATAATCCATATAAACTATGCTATAAACAAAAAATTGTAGGATTACTTACCGAGTGTGCACTGTTCGACGACACCATTGCTTAAGCTTGTTTTCGTCGCGGAGCAGTGCATTGAACAGCGGGCGTGAGTTCAGTGATAAATTATTTTTCTGCAAAAAATTTGCTGAAGTTTGGAGACATCATTAATATAAATATAATTTTTATGGCCATTAAATAATAAATGGTTTTTAGTAGGTCGCTGCTCGTTTAAACTCAACTATTTGTACAATATCCGCTATTGGTCTAGATTTGACCAATCCTGTCGTGACACGAGTCAGCAATGACGTTTTACCATATCATAAGAGTCTCTTTTAGCGTGTTTATATGAATATAATCGCAATTTTTTCGCCATTATATACGAATCCGTATTATATGAACCCATTTTATAGGGGGTCTACTGTAATTTATAATGAACTATAAGAATTTTAAATCAACTTCACATATAGCCTACTGAAGTTCCAAAATAAGTCTACAGCAATATAATTTAAAGAAGCTACAATTTTATTATTAAATTAAATTAAATTAAAATTGAACTCTTATCATCATTTGAAGATGACAGCTAAATTCTCAAAAACAAACATTTTAAAATATAAAATTATAATAATCTCAAAATAATTATTACTAGAGATGGGTAGTTCTGGTTGGAGCTGCTCCAAAGGAATCATTCTAGACTTGGAACAATAAGGATCAGTTCCATGCCAAAGTATCAAGACAGTTCCAACCAAAACTGTCTCGATATAATTTTTAATTTGTCAAAATATTTACTAATGCTTCTTCATTCTGTACTTTTCCAGGGATTGATGAATTCTTTATCTGGATTTGAACTTGAACTAAATGAAAATGCTTTACGAGTTTTTAGGAATAATCAAATCAGTTCAGAGTATTTTAAATTTATAAAGATTTTACAGTTTGTAATTCTTTTATTAGTAACTAGCAGATATGGGTAGCATTGCCTAGTCAAAAAGTAAGAAGGCTAAACATTAAAATTAAAACCATATTATAAATTTGGTTATTTTAGCTAACCATTGTTATATTTATCATAAAGCATCAAGGAGATCAAAGCAGGAAAAGAATAGGGTGTCCAGATTTCATGAAACTCTATATTTTCCTCGGGGTTCAAGAGAATAAGTAAGAAAACTTTGGTGCAGATTGGACAAAGGATTTAGGAGTTAATAAAGGGGGATAGAATCAGAGATGATGTAAGGTGTCCAGGTTTCATGATAGACTCTGAGGAAAATATATAGACTAAGTTAAACAATAAAAATTTGGAGCAGATTGGCCAAAAAAACTAAGAACAGAGAGACAAACATTCTATATCCTATATAAAACTAATGAGGGACAGTCTACTCTAACAGACGAAGCAATTCCAATGTGACATAACAGTTCCAACAAACCATCTAGCTAACTGTTCCAAGGAATCATCTAGTCCAATTGTTCTAAGGAACCATCTAACCTAATGTTTCTGATGGAACAGTCTAGTTCAGTGTTTTTCAACCTTTTTTGGCCATAATCCACCAAAGCATCTTTAAAATCTCAATGTCCCCCCTGTGACAAAAACACAAGAAGAAAAATAAGGGAAAAATAAAAAATTAACAAAATTAAAATAAATTTATAAAATTTAGAGAATTTAATAGTAACACCTACAAACAGACAAATTAACTATAACCTTAACACATGTCGTGTTGCCATTTGCAGTAGTATTGCCATCTTTTTCTCAGAAAGTCAGAGTTGCTATATCAAAAAATATTTTTGACAAATGCAATTTTTTAACAAAAAAATAAATGTAACAAATATTAATTATTTGCACATTGCCCTTTAAATTATTCAAATTGCCCGATGTTGAAAACACCAGTCCAGTTCAACTGTTTCGAGGAACTATCCAGAACTATTACTATTAACAGTTCTGACAAAACCATTCCATACTTGGATCAGTTCCAACAGTTCCAGTTCCAGTAGAGAAATTGAATTTCTCATCTTTACTTATTATACAAAGTTATACAATAATAAAAGTGTTCACAATTTTAATATTATAATTAATTAAATTTAATAGTAATAACAAATCAGTATTAAAAAATTGATTACAACAATGTATTTTAGTTTATAAGTATTCATCTTTTAAAACTAACTCCGAAAATTTATCATCTTTACTTGATTTGTGACTTTACAGCAGGAATATAAAACATTTTAAGTATTCAAATAAAAAAAAATTAAAATTGCTGTTTTACAAACATTATGAGAAGTATGTCCATTCACTCCAACTTTAATAAACTGTCCTAACACCCAAAAGATCTTTTTCAGGACACTGAAAAATATATTAAATATTTATTTTTATACTTAATTTACATAATTGGGACAATTCATAAATGCCTGCAGTTGAATGGAGGACCAGTGAGTACAGAAACAAATCTTTGCTAAAGTGTGCTCAAGTTGAAAGTGGTGTAATATTTTAAAATTTTATATGTATTTTATTTTAATTAATGTAATGTAGAAATTCATTTTACAGAGTTTTAAAAATAAAACAGAAAGTAATGTCATTTTTAGTTTCCATTCTGTTAATTATTATTATGAATTAAATAAAATGATTGTAGTTATTAGTTAGTGTTAGTATAAGATAACAGTCTAACCATCTACCTATAGAATTACATAAACTAATAATAGTTAGCCGAACTATTGTCCAAACAGTCCAGAAATCAATATTATTGTGAGGACCTGAACAGGGGTCGATTGAGAGGTCCGAATGAGGGGTGTCGATCGAAAATAAAAAGCGCCTTTTCAGATGCTAAGGAAACGGATTAGGTGTCTCGATTGAACAATGCAATTGTTTTTTTTTCATAAATTTGTTAAACAATGGAAACGGATAAATTCGAGGAAAACGTGACGAGAGAGAGAAATCAAATTCAGTCGCAACGTTGACCTCTCCCACGCCCTTCATTAGGTTTCGAATTGTCACCAGGTGACTATGAGAGACCAATGGAGAGGCGACGACGGTTAAGAAATCTATAAAACCGTGCGACTCAAGGGACAAAGGTTCTTGGTGCT